AATCAGTCCCTCTCTGTTCCCTGCTGGCCACGCCACGTATCTGCAGGGTCTCACTTGGCCTGCAGAGCGTCACAGGAGCCCCAGGTCCCCCGTGCTCTCATTTGTAAAGTGGGGTGTGGGGCTACACGGGGGCTTATAGGCTCAGATGCTCATAGCAGGCAGCACAGGTGTGGGAAGTGGATCCCCACCAAAGGAGCCAGCCACCTATCAGATCAAACCCATCCCTGCTGTGCAGGACCGTGAGCCTGGTGTAGCCAGACCCTTTGATTTTTCAAAAGAGGCTAGATATCTTGAATTTCATGAGGACTTCCCCAAATCTTGAAACATGATATCATGTGGGCTAAATACACGTCTGATGCCAAACACAGCCCTTGGGCACCGGCCGGACTCCACAGGGCCTAGGCTTGGGGGTCCCCGCGCTGGGCAGGGCAAGTGGAGCCCTCATTTTGTTGTCATTCACATCCTCCCATGGTTCACACGGGAACCTTGGTGGGGCTTTGTGCCCCTATCTTGGTCTAGTTCAACGTATTTGTACCACCTAATGACAAGTCTTATCGTGGTAAGGCCGTTTTGGCAGGTTTCTGCAGTTGAGATGGGGTTGGCTCCTGGCCTTTCTCCCATCCATCAGCGTCTGACCAGGACCGATGGATTCTAAGTGCCCCTTTGTTGTTGAACAGAGGAATGGGCAGGGAGCCCCAGGAAACCCAAGACCTCCTCACTAGTCCTGGCTCACTAGTCCTAGTCCTCCCTCTTCCGTAACGCAGACACCCTTCTACAGCTCCCAGGACAAACTGACCCTGCCATCCAGGCAGCTCAGGGCATCCGGGAGTTGCCAGTCAGTGGCAGGTCAGAAGGTAGGCTGGAACCTGCTGCCAGAAGGCCTTAGCCAGCCCGAGGTGCCTCCTGCTCCAGGCTAGATGTCACACCCTTCGGGAGCTTCTGGCTCCTGGTCCAGGCTGTGCTGGGCTGCCTACGACCACCAGGCATGGCACAAACCTCATGCTCGGCCTCCTTTACCTGCCCAGGCCACAGGACCGACAGCTTGCTCCCCTCCCTCTCCGGCCGCCTAACCTCCTCACACTTGCTGATGTGACACCTGTGTCACCCTGCCTGCCCCCGTCCTGCCCTCCCCAGGCCCTGCACCCTGAGGGTCCCTGTGCAGAGTTGGTGGATGACTTAACCAGCAGGTGCAGGCCTGGAGAGAGTTGTGAGTCATGGGCGGCAGGAGGCAGTAGGTAACGGGGCGGCAGGGATTTCCATCTGTGCTGCTAACACATACCACTTCAGATCTACCGGTGGAGGCCTGGGGTGTGGTCCTGGCTGTTCTTCAGTTCTGGCTGTTCAGGAATTGATCTAAACCCCAGGTGGCTCTCCACAGGTGATCCAAGCACCAGCCGCCCTGGGAACAGGTTAGACATGCAAATTTCTACCACTCCCCTCCCCGCTGGCCTACTGAACCGAAAACTCTTGGTCTTCCTGTCCCTGTTTTAAGGAGCCCTCCAGGGCATTCTGGTGGAAGGTCAAGTTTGAAAACCACTAGTCAGAGCTGAGTCTTGGCACTTGGGATTCAGCAAGGTAATCCCCTCTGTAGGAACAGCTGTGGGGAGTGGGAAACCCCAAGAGCCTCTGCTGTGCGTTTGTGGTTTGTGCGTTTGTGTGGGGGAGACAGCCGCTTAGAGAAGTAGGGACTCCAAGGCCGGGAAGAGGTGTTCTGGACAGCCCCTAATGATAGAAAGTTAACGCACCGGGGAATTTTCCTGTCCCTAACTGAAAAAAGTGTGAGGGTTTGACCTGATCTCCATGGAGCCAGAAAGTACCTTTCAGGAAACTTCTGCAGCCTTAACAGCCCCGGGGGTACCGGCCTGAAGAAGTGTGTGTTTTTGCTGGGTCACTATCACCACATAAGACAAGGCTGCAGGCTGTGACGCTGATAGGCACAACAGTGAGCCCCTCCAGGTCTCACTGGGGCACTTCCCCAGGGAGCCTCCAAGGCACCAGGCACTTCACCTCTCCTTTGTTTAATACAAGGTGATATAAGAATGACCATTTTCCAGGCAAATAAATTGAGGCTCCCGGAGTGTAAGTCTCTAGTCCAAGGTCACACCGCAGTAAGTGAAAGGTACTGCCCACGGCCCCAAGATCACAGCCACTTACAAATCAGCAATACCATTTCCAGCATTAAGCTTTGGAGATCTCCACCCAGTGTCAGTGAACAGGTCCCAGGGATACAGGGAGCTGTTTGCTGCCTTAAGCTCCAAGCTAAGGGTCTTTCAGGCTGGCGAGGGGCTTACCACCGGGGTGCGCTCCCAGAGCCTTCTGGAAGATTCCACCCCCGCCCCGTGTTGTCACGCCCCCCTCACCCCCCGCAGCACCTGCAGCCTGAGCAGTAGGGTTTGGGGCACCTTTTCCTCCACTGTCATCCCAAGTCGCAGAAGGTGGGCAGGGCCACGCCTTGGGGCCAGCACCTCCCTGTGAGCCTTCTCCCCGCTTCCGAGGGGCTGGAGGAGGGACGCTCTCTCTGGAGGCTGAGGCGCCGACTTCCTTTATCGCGAACTTTGCCTTTGGAATAATTTTGCTTGTATTACAACAAAATGCCTGAGCAATAGGGAGCAGTCTGTGCCTTTTAAAGATGGCAAAGGGCTTTTACCAGACTGGCAGGTATCTCAAAAGAAAAGCGGACCGCCGGGAAATGTCCTTACATGGCGTAAACCCCTGTCTCTCCACTAGCTAGTGCGCTCCGGGAAGCCCGAGCCCCCTCGTGGACTGCGTGCCGGCCCCGCCCGCCTGGGCGGCGCTGAGGCTTGGGGGCGCCCCCTGCTGACCGCGGCCGCGCCCCACAGCCAGCCCCGCTCCTCTGCCCCGGGACCCCTCAGCAATGCGGGAAACGAAAAGGGCTTCTTCTCCGGGTCCGGGGACTCTTGTGTCTCTCGCAGGGGTGCGGAAAACCAGCAGCCCACCTTGGGAGAGTTGCCAGTCCCCTCTCCGAAGGCCACTGGCCCCCGGAGTGACTGGCCAGCACCACGAACATGTTTTCTGGGAGTTGCAAAGCGCTTCCCAGCCTGCTGGCTCTGGGCAGGGCCTTGTGTCCCACTCAATCCCCTCTCCACCCCGCCCTCACCCCACCCCCACTCCCCTCTCCACCTCCTACCCCCACCCCACCCCCACTCCCCTCTCCACCTCCCACTCCCCCTCCCCTCTCCACTCCTACCCCCACTTCCACTCTGCTCTTCACTCCCCTCTCTATGCCCCCTCTCCCGTAGCTCGTAGGGAGGAGAATAGGACTGCTCTACAAGGTCCCCACCAGGAGGCTTAGCTTGAAGGGAAGGGAAGGGAAAGGAATTTCCCTGGGTCTCTCCGCGGGAGCTTGGGACACTGCCAGAAGACCCCACCCCAAACATGTGTTCGGCTGGGAGGGAGCGCCTTCCTGGGTCTCCTCACACTGCCAGACCTCTCCAGATGCAGTGGGGTGGCTTCTGAGCCTGGTGGAGTCCACTGACGTCATCCTCATTGCTGGACTCTCCCTCTGACCCAGTTTCATGACACTTTGCAGAAGGGGCTGTAGTGAGGCTGGGCCCAGCAAGCCTGGACACCCCCGCCCCCCGACCCCACCTTGGTAGATGATCTTTCCTGAGGGTGATGGTTGGCTGAAGGCCGCTCTATACATTTGCCCAAGGTCAGGGACCTGCAGGTTTGAGACCATCACAGACACACAGTGGGCTGTGGCAGATACAAACGTTTGTCTATGGTGCTCATAGTGGCAGCCCCAGGTTCATATGCGCAGGTTCCCAACCCTGGAAGGGTGTGAAGGACACTTGTTGATGTCCCCGTTTTATAGATAAGGATACTGGGTAATTAATTGCTTGCCTGAAACTTTTTCCTTTTAATACGGTTAACATTCTGTCTCCCCAGAAAACACACATAACAGGAGACAGATAAACATTTAACAAGTCCAAAGCAATTAAAAATAGCCACAAAAAAGAGAAAGACATAGACTGACAGCTCACAGAGCAAGGTGGCAGAGACACACCCGGGTGAGCTGAGCTTGGCTGTGGCCCCCAATTCAACCTTTCTCCTCTACTCTCTCTGTCCCTTCACCTCTGACCACAGCCAGCCTGATTCCTATTCCCTGAGGCTTCACCTGCCTCAATAAGGAAGGAAATTTCCCTCCTCCCATCCCCTGCCTTCACCTGCTTGCTGCCAGATGCCTCCAAGAACTGGGGTCCTCCAGACTCCAGATGCCCCGGACCTTAGGACATCAGCACTTACCCGGTAAAGGTCAGCTGGAAGGTGCCCTGCTTCCTACCCACAGCTGGGATCCTGACCAAGCCATGAGGCCCCTGGGTGGTGGTGGTGTGAGATGGGGATGGTGGGCTGAGTGGTACAGATTCTGTCTTGGCCATCATCATGGGGAACTCTCCCAGTGCCACCACAGGATGTAGGAGTTGTAGCCAGCAGTGCCCCAGTGGTGCCAGGTGACAGCCCCCCAAACACACAGCAGTGCATTTGCTAAGACTCCATGTGTTCTCTTGGACCTCACAGAACATGGGCTTTGAGTGGAGGCCGAAAGGCAGACTTGGGAGTGCCCAAGGCCTTGCTCTGAAACACCTAGGGGGCTGGCACCCCACTACCCTCACACTCCTACCACCAGTTTCCCCACCAGTGATGACAACAGCTACTCAGCAAATGGGCTCATCACGTGTTCACTCATCAGAATGGCCTGGGAGGCAGGTGCCAGTAATTATCCCCGTATTACCCATGAGAAACTGAGGAACACAGATGTTAAGTAATGTGCTCAAGGTGATCAGCCAGCAAGGATCAGAGCAAATGGGATTGATAACATCTCCTCGAGTGAGCCAGGCTATTAACATTTTCAGAGGGGGTAGGTCTCACTGTGAACTGCCCATGCAGGGGCTCCTGCAGAAAAGCATTTCCCTTCCAGACACCTCCCAGGGACAGTGACCACCATGGAGGAGACAGGAGGAGACCCAGACCCGGTGGCATGCTCTTTACAGAAGTGTTTATTGGGGAGGGGTCAGAGTTCATGGATAACTGGGAGGTGCAGGTAGAGAGTTCTGAGGACACTGCCCGGGCGGGGACTGCGGGGGGAGGCTGTGTCCTGGCCAGGCTGCCCAGAAGTCCGGCTTCTCAGGTCAGAGCTCTGCTGCCCATCCTGTGGCGGTCTTGCCAGGGAGTGCCCAGGCATCCTGGCTTCACAGAGCCTTCGTCTGGGGGCCCCTTTGGCCTTGCCACTGTCCACATGTCTGTGCGGACCGCAGAGGCCAGCAGAGGGGCCAGTCCGTGGCAGGTCCCTCCGGCTTGGCTGCTTTTCCTGGAACTCCCCAAAAAGCCAGTCCAGGGGGTCCACAGCATCGGCCGTGGGCAGTGCGGGCTGCTGGCCACTGAAACGTGCAGTGATGTCCCGCAGGGACACAGTGGGGTGGCCCTTCCGGCAGGCCTGGGCTGGCCTGTGGGGTGGCCTGGAGTGGCCTTGGGCTGTGGCCTTGTCCAGCACAGAGGTGGGCTGTGCCAGTCGAGATATGGACCTCACGTAGTCATCCAGGCCAGGGGAGGGCGGAGGCTCCTGCCCAGGCCCCCCAAGCAGCATCTCCTCTGTGGTCTCCCGAATTGTGGGTAGATGGGCCACGGAGAGCAGAAGCCGGGACCTCATCACTCTGGTGAGAGGAGGCAGCAACCTGTTGGGAAACAGAGGCCAGGTTGCAAGGGCCTGCCATGCATCCCACAGCCCCTCAGGGTCCCCACACTCCTCTGGGGCTTCCCGGAGGAATCCTGTGCCCTGAGAGCAGTTCGAAGTCCACAGAGCCCAGACCAGAGTGCAGACTCCTGGGCTGCTTCTTCCTGTTTAGGTTAAAAGCCCACAGGCTTATGATTTTATCATGACCATTTCACAATGTGCCCAAGTAAGACAACCCAACTTAACATTAACACTGGTCACAGGAAAGCTGGGTTTAAACCCAGGATCGGCCACGCACTGACCTTTGGCAAGGCCACCTCTCCAGGCCTCCACTTACCCATCCATAAAACAGGGTTGTAAATACCCCTGGCAGGGATGTTGTGGGAAACGCATGAAGAAATAGCGTCTGAATCCCTTTAAATGCAAAGCCCTCTACACGCAGCCCTGGTCTCTAAGCCATAGGGAGGTTGTGCAAGTTCAGGCTGGGAACTGCCGTCAAAGATAAAGCCCTTGTGTGTTGTCTCGAACCCAAGGGCAGCTGCTTCCTCTTACCTGGAGCCGAGGAGGTTTGAGGGTGGCAGGAGAAAGGATGAGCAGGGACAGTGCAGTCCACAGGAAGCCCCTGGGGAGCTTGGGGGCCGAAGGGAGGAGGGTCCGGCAGGGGGTCCAGCGTGGGGTGGCCGGGAGGAGGACGATACACTGAGTCCTACCGGGTCCCACAGCTCACCGCGGCAGGCTCTCCGCTGAGCTCTCTGAGGGACCGCAGCAGGCAGCTGCTTTTATACCTTCCCACAGGCTATCAATCACTGTCACGAGGGCCAAAAATAGCCTGCTCAGGAAGGCTCTCTTAGGAAAACAGCTCGGTGGGCGGGGCTTGGCCCAGCTGCCAGCCTGGAGGTGTCTTTCGGCCTGTGGGAGGCTGGGGAATGTTTATGCTGCAAGGCAGGAAAGGGGTGGGTCCGCTGCTGGTCACCTCGGGGCACTGGGAGAGGGAGGAGTCCCTTCTGTCCCAAAGCTTGTTCCCCACTCTATTACACCTGCCCATCCTGACTCCAGGCCTTTTGCTGGTCCTTGCCGAGCCCTGGGCCTGCACCTGTGAGGCTGGGCCAGGTTCTTGACAACTTTGATAAAAAATCAGCAGCACAGGGCCACATCCTGGAGGCAGCTGAGGCGAAGTCCCTAGGCCTGCTCCCAGGAGAGACATACCCCCCGCCCATGGGACCAAGGGCGGTCTTCGAGGTTAGACCCTGGTCTTGCTGCACCCCAGATGGGGTGCTTCTGAGGACTGGTTTACTTGTTCACCAGGCGTGCAGTGCTGCTGTGTGCACTGACTGCTCTAAGCACTGGCAAACGTAGCAGCTGACCAAGGCATGGGCCCCTGGAGCTCAAGATCAAGCCAGAGATGAATGGGTGCCGTGATTCAGGCACCAAGAGCTGCCTGAAGGAAAAGTAGAGTATCATGGTGGGGCGCACTGGTGGGCTGCCACCGCAGGTACAGTGGTCAGGGGTGTCTCCCGTAAGAGCAGATATGGAGCAGAGACCTGAAAAAAATGAGAAAATGCACATTCTGGGTGGCGAGGCAGCACATGCAAAGCCCCTGTGGTGAGAGTACGCCAGATGTATGTGCTCAGGGCACAGCAAGGGGCCCGCAGACTGGTGCATGTAGGAGGGGTCCGTGGGCCTTGGCGTGGATGCTGAGTTTCCCTCCAAGAGGGAGGGAAAGACACTGCAGGGTTGGAACAAGGGCAGGGCCGTCTGGCTTCTGCTTCAAAGGATCGCTTCAGCTGCTGGGCCTGGGCTGGGGCAGGTTGGGGTGGGGGAAGCTGCCAAAGAGCACCTGGACAGCATTAGAAAGCCACTGCCTCTGTCCAGGAGTGACCATGCCAGGAAAGGAGGCTGCCAAGGACGAGGGGGGCAGCTGCTAGGAAGATCCCGCACTCCCCAGACAGGCCGTAGATCTTCTGCCCCAGTCCCAGCCACAGCCCCACCTGGAACACGCCTGCCTTGTGCTGTGGGCGGGGGAGTCACCCAGAGGTAGCCCAAGCCTGAGCTCTGAGTACTGGGCAGATCCCAGACTCCCCAGGCGAGCAAGAGGAACCGGAGTCCCAAGTTCCTGGATTCGAGGTGAAACCCCACGTGGGGAAAGGCATGGAGGCAGAGAGTGCCTGAGACAGTGACCAGGATTTCAGCTGCACGTGCACTTCTCACCTTGCCCAAGCTCTTGCAACTTTAGTAGACCCTTTGTCTGTTTCTCTGGCTCTTTGAATTTATTAGCAATGAGCAGATTAGTCAAGAGACTGAAAGGAGGAGGGAGATGGAAGAGTTCGCTGCTGGCGGATAGGGCTTTCCCTCCGTTCAGATTCAGCCAAGCTGGGGGAGGGTAAACAGTGGTGGGCGGGTATGTTGGGGGCACACATACCACCTGTGCAGGGATATCTGGCCTGAGTCATTGGCAAACCAGCCTGTCCCCAGTACAGCCACGCCCCTGACTTTGTCCAGGCAGATCCCCAAGTCAGTGCCACCTGCTCAGCTTTCCTCTGTGTCCCCCTTCACCTGTCTTCCAGGGTGCAGTGAACAAGCACCTCCTCCAGGAATCTCCCTTGCATCCCCTTCCGCATCCAAGCCTGAGCCCCTCATGGCCGGGGCTGTGTCTGCTCCAGCTCCCTCTGCCTGGGGTCCAGGGTGGGGCTGGAGGGCAGTGGGTCTCCATGAGTCAGCCATCATCCCCACAGGCTCCCTCCACTGAGAGGCACCTGAGGCCAAGAGGCAAGAACAGAACCCTCATGGACCTTTGAACTCCATGCTGGCCTCACCTTCATAGGGAGCTCAGTGACACATCTGTGCTTGTAGAGCGCCAGTGAGTATCAAAAACAACTCTGGTTTCTGCTTGTTTTCCTTTTTAGCAGATAGTGCAAGGTCATATCTGGAAGCCATGTGTATTTTTGATAACCTTGACGTACACTGTTTTCTCTGTGGCAGGATGTTTGAACCTAGAAACCCCATTGCTAACTTGCCATGAAATTCACACTGAGCAGGGTCTTCCTGAGTGCTGCCAGGGATATGAAGACGTGTCCTTGGTGTCCCTGTTCTCACAGGGCTTTTGGTGCCAACTAGGAGAGCGAAATGGGATTTGTGAATCTAAAATATGGGTCAGAAATACTGGATGATTCCATTTATATAAGGAATTTAAAATAGGCTTATCAAGGCAGAGAGTGAAAATGATGGTTGCAGGGACTGGGGGGGGGGGGAGGAAATGGGGAGGTGCTATGCAGCTGATATGTTTCGGTTATGCAAGATGAGTAAGTCCTGGATAGCGCCTGCAGTGAACAATACAGTATTGTGCATTTCACAGCTTGTTTAGAGGGTAGTTCTTATGTTAAATGTCCTTACCACAATGAAACACAAATAAATAATAAAATTAAATGTTAGTTGAGATGGAAATGGGAGAATGACATTCAGAGTTAATTGTGGAAAGACTGGAGTCAGAGCAGATTAGGTGTGCGCAGTTTCGAGACTGCGGCTCTGGAGAGAGGGCAGCTGAGGTTGCCAGCAAGTGTTCTGGTAAATGACCCAGCTGGCCAGGCTCACGCATGGAGTGACTGGGATTGGCACAGAACACTATGGTGGTCTCACAGAGACTGAGGCCTGGAGTAGGTCAGAGGCACTGAATCAAGGGCCCGATGGGTGCCAACCAGCACCGGCAAGGTGCCTACAGAGGACTCTGTTGATTAGGACGCCAGGTTGGCAGCAGGAGAGGAGCCATATCACCTGCACACCTAGGAAAACTGAGGCAGGTTGGAGACATGGGATGAAGGCTGTTGTAGAAATTCTGGTGTGGGATGTAGGGCTAGTGATGTCCTAGCAGTGGTAAGAAAAGCAAGACCTGCTGTCAGCCCTGGCGAGTGGACGCTGCTGCTGTCAGGGGGCACCGGGAGAAGGATGAGGCTGAGACACAGCTAGGACAGAGAGCACCCACTTCTGCTCTGGTGGGCTGGGACCTCACAGGGCCTGGTGGCCACAGGAACTGGTGGTACTGGACCCCCTCCCAGGTGCAGTGTGAGCAGAGAGGTCCCTTGCTTGGCACAAGCAGACCGGCTGTGCATCCCTGGAACCACGTCCTTGCCGCGGTGTGGACGTGCCTGCTGGCCAGCAGCTGGGTTCCTGTGGGACACCTGACTCAGCCGCTGCATCTCCGGCCGTGCCCCTGGTCAAGCATGAGCTCAGCAAGCCTCAGGCTTCCTCCCACAGGGCCTGGCCATGCGCCTCAGGGCACGTAATAGCTGGTGGTCCTTCCCGAGGGGACGGGGCCAGCCACTCAGGAGGAGGGATGTGCGGGGCCTGAATGTCCAGAGCATTGCACCCCGAGGGGGCACAGGGAAGGTGGACAGCTGCTCTGCGGGAATGGCTGATGTGTGGATCCCCGCAGGAAGAAGGGACTCTGATCATCGAGGGGCTCCTCAACATCGCCTGGGGGCTGAGACGGCCCATCCGGCTGCAGATGCAGGATGACCGGGAGCAGGTGCACCTCCCTTCCTCCTCGTGGATGCTCGGACGGCCCAGCTGCCCCCCGTGAGTGCCCAGCTAACCTGGTGGCTTCTGTGACACCTGCTCAGCCCTAGCTCCCTGTTTTGGATGCGGGTTGAGGATATCCTGAGCCTCTGGGTGGGAACCCTGTTCCCGTATGGGACTCTGGCACAGGAGGGTAACCCAGCCTCATCTCCATGTCCCGTGACTGCCTCAGTCCTTGCCCAGGGTGGCCTCTCCCTCCCTCCAGGAGAACGTTTCCTGGAGCCACTTTGCTGGCAAGAATGGACGGCTGCAGCCAGTGGGGGGCTTCCAACACCTGTGCAAGCCAAACCTGTCTTAGCATCTCTTGTTCTGTCTTAAAAATTCACACAAATTTAGCCTCTCACTACTCTGTTTTCATTTTAGTGTTCAAAATTTTTAAATAAATGTTTAAGAATTTCACATTAGATTTATTTAATGTCAGAGGAATGTTTCTGTCAGGAGGAAATGGTATCCTGCCTGCCTTACTGTTCAATGCACATTTATCTCCTTCTCAGCCCATTCCCAAAAGACTCAGTTAGTGGCTGGGCCCTGCCTGCTTCCGCAGTAGTAACTCCTGTAGAGGGCACACACTCAGAGATTTGCCCCCTTCAGATTTCACCTAAAACCCATGCTCTGACAGCACTCACCACCCTGACAGCCCCGGCACGTCCCCAGGTATTCCGGGTCACTCAGCGAACTCTGAACCACTCAGAATTAGAGCATAAAGTCAGACTCCTTAGGAAGGCTGCAAGTGTGACTCACGTGTCCCCCTCCTCGAGGTACAAGCAGTCACAGGCAACAGCTGAGGCTCTACCTGCGTGTTCTCCAGGACCCCGTCTGTCGTCTTCTCCCTAGGTCCTCTGGGCTGCAGGACTCTGTCTCATCACACACCCACTCTTTCTCGGCCCAGCACTGGCTGCTCAGGCCTTGGGTTCATCTTGCCAGGAGGCCTGGAGTTTAGACCCTTCTAGGTGGCCCCTGTCTGACACCCTACCAGGCCTACGGGAAGCCCAGCGAGCCTGTTCGGCACAAAGCTGCTGGCCTCACTCTGCCTGGTGCCCAGGAGAGTGCAGGCCCTGGCTACGTTCATGCATCTGCGTGTCTGTGCAACGCAGCCTAGCACAGGCCCACAGGTCTGCAGGGCCAGGCTCATGCTCCATCCAGCAGGTAGTAGGGGGAGACCTCTACTTTTCTTTTACAGTTTCGGACTGACTCTCTCAGTTTGAAATCCAGGTCTCACCTCAGCCTGCCTTGCTTCCCGCCTGTGTCCTGCCCCGGGGGCTGCTGGTCTCTTCTCCTTGGCC